GTGCTTTTGTGTCCCTTTCTAATTCCCTTTGACATAGAAATGTTTCAGAAAATAGCGGGTATAAGGAAGTGATCTTGACGCTTACCGGCCCACCAGTCATCAGTGCGTCCATACCCGCTCTGTGTCAGCTGCAGGATGGTGTACTCCTCCAGGTTACGCTGGCTGCTCTGTATCCTGATTGGCTGGATGTAGTCTGAGGAAGATTATCATATTACTGTATAAGTCATACAATTGCCGGTGTTCGGTGTTCTATTTAACACTAAACACATTTTTTGATTAAATAAATGAAAGGAACTGAAAAAAGCGTTTATTCAAGGTAAGAAACATAGTTTGGAAAAAATTATTACCCATAATCGACAGGGCGAGCCACGCGCTGAAAACTGATTTATCTGTACTTATTTAATTTGAATATTTCTCACGATACCTACCACTATAAGGTACGTAGCGGTCCAGCTTCAGCACTCCAATGTCATCAGTCTGCACAGCAGTCTCCTCCTGGTCGTAACCCTCGTGGACGTAGCTCTCAGCCGTCTCTATCATGTATCCTGGGGTGGTGATGTCCACCTGACCGAGCCGTACTATGTAGGTGAAGCGCCTGGAAGTAATTGGGAAATGGGAAATGTTTATAAGTCCTTCAGAACACTAATTAATAAGGTTTTTAAGCAGATTTTTGTGGATCACTTAGGATCTTTTTTTCTAATAATCCGTTACTTTGGATGGATGGAGGCGACGAGGGCAAGAAAACGTAAAGCACTTCACAACTTTAAACATGAGTAATTTTTGAAAAAGAATTTACAGATAAATTATTATGTTTTCAGCTTACTCACGTAGTAATTTGACGAGGAACTCGACTAGTTTCAAGCCATGCTCAAAGTAGCAGCGCGACAGTCGCCGCGTCGCGGGTCGCGAAATGCTGTTCATGAATATGAGCGTCTAGCATGGCTTGAAACTAGTCGAGTTCCTCGTCAAATTATTACGTGAGTAAGCCGAAAACAATAATTTATTTAGTATGTCTTACGAAAGTTACAATACAAGAATTTACAGTGCGGATTAAGGTTTCCCGTTGGTCAAAAATTAATGTACTATTTAAAAATAAGTCGGGTTTTCCTTCCTGACGCTATAACTCCAGAACGCAGGAACTGATTTCCACGGTTTTGCAATCGTTGGAAATGTCTCGGGCTCCGTGAGGTTTATAGCAAAGAAAATTCACTTTTAATCACCAAACGAAATGTTACATAAAACGAAGTGATCCGGTGGCGAAACGGAGTTCGCCGGGTTTGCTAGTGTATATAAATATTGTTTCACTCTAGTCCCATACATTTTCCGTGGAAGTTGTTGTTGAAAATAACATAACATCACGCCTTTTATCCCTGAAGGGGTAGGCAGAAGTATACATTATGCCACTGTACAATGTAACATCCACTTTTCACTATTTATGTTATTAGACCAATGTAATAGGGGGTGAGTCTATAGCCATATATTCCTGACTCCGTGCTACTACAGTTGTTGTTGATGGCTATGAATTAAGGGCTACATATGTGTACGAACCTGGCCAGACAGTGAGCAGCAGTGAGGATCCACTCGTTGCTGAGTATGGAACCAGTACATGCGCTGACTCCACCAGTGGGTCCCACATTTCGAATGCTGACGGTGTAAGGAAACTGCCCATTGACGGCCTCCCAACCACTCACGATTCTAGATCCTGGAAATTAGTTGAAGGATTTTTACCAATATATCTTTAAAAATAGGGTCTTTTTTGTTTTGATGTAAAAAATCTGTACAAATATTGGTACTTTTGAAGTAGTCGTGTTTATAGATAGACACGAAAGGGGACTATAACATTAATAAGAATGTCTTAAGATTAGACGCTTGCCTCGAAGAGAATCTCCGATGTACGCAATCTCTGGCTCGGCTGGCTCACACTGAAATCAAGAAAGTAGACCATAATATTTTATCACTAATGTACTGTTATCAAAATCGTAAATTGTATAGATATCAAAGTCAAAGCATATATTTCAATTAAACCATAATTTTATACAAACTGTCAGTATACCCGTCAGTGAAATTGAATCATTCCAAAATATAAATTCGAATGAAGAAGAACGAGCAAAAAATTCCATTCGTTATACTCTTTTAAAAAAATGTGTTAACAATGTCTCTGATAGATCCAATATTGTACATACGTATATGTGAGAACAATACAAAGACACTCTTGACGCTACATTGACAAATCGTTTAATAGATTAACCGCTTTCATTCATCTTAAATTCACTTTTCATAACATAACATAATACCACGCTTTTTAGCCCAGGTAGGCAGAGGTGCACATTACGGCACTTAATGCCACTGTATCATGTAATACCCACTTTTCACTATTTTATGTTATGAGTCCCATGTAATAGGGGGTGTGTCATGTACCGGGCACACTTCCAGACTCCGTACTACCACTGAGATTTTTTAAAAACCCATTAATACTTTGCCCGATCCGGGAATCGAACCTGAAATCCCTTGTCCGAAAGTCGCACTTGCGACCACTCGGCCAACGAGGCAGTCATACCCTAATTTTTCATCACCTCAGTTTTCATACCCTCTAATTGTGTTTATTTACTTCTGTTTTTATAATAACTATCGTGAGACTCTGTGGTTCGAAACTAGTAGAGCTTCTCTCAGTATATTCACGTGAATAACCCGCGATTTTAGTTAATTTATTTACTTCGTTATTAGACTTTTGTCCACTCCAAGATTTACTTTAGGTACGTCATGGATAACGAATCCTTTTGCAAGTTTATCTACCCGGAAAAATTATACGTTAGATAAAAATTTCGATAATTCATTCTGTTATCAATATTTGTATTTCATGACTTGCAAGTTGCAGTCAACATAGGTAAAAGTGATGTTGTTTCATCATTATATAATTACAATCTTAAACAATAGAATTAACACACAATTAAATATACGAAAAAGTAAAAAAAGAGTAACCTATGGAGTTTCTTGCTCGTTCTTCTCCATAGGAATCTACACCTTGGAATGAGCAAATAGCTTCACTTTTAATTTTTTTTGTTGACGTTCAAAAGTACCTTCTTAGTCTAATTGAAATGGAGCCGCGGAGAACCTAACGGGTAACTGGGGCTCCGGCTCGACGTGCAGGAGAAGGAACGGGGTGGTTGTTAGTCAGTAAGAGTCTGACACTCCCTTCCGTCTCACCCAGGCGGGAGCAGTCATTCGATGATTTACCCCCCTTAAAAAAAGTCTAATTTAAATAAATGATTTTGACTTTGACTATGAAATCTTTTATTCAATGAAGTTACTTAGAGAAAAATTAGTTGAGAATATGCTTCTCAACAAATTTTTCTAATGAAGACGGTCTAATGGACCTCTAGAGTGGTGATTAAATTTAACGGCTTGTTATGACAAATGAACACGCGTTAATTCGTGGTGGGATACTCGATAACTTTAAAAGCCGGTTAACTGACTTAACAATACGATAAATATTTAACAGAGTATGGTGAAACTGGACCTAAAGGCTTAGGTCGAGTTTGTTTATGTTGAAAGTAATCGAAACGAAACCATGTTCGGCGCTTTGATCGATTGGTTCATTGTATAGGCGTATTTTAACAATGTTTAAACTGTCAAATACCAAGCGGTCACCGGTGACCGCGACCCATTGTTCTTTAATTGTGTCTATAAAACCGGTACTCGACGAGTTAAGGAACACCGATAATTACTTTTATTGAAGCCCTAATGTGAATGTCTTTCGTAAATAAAAATATAAAAACTAATTACCTGAGCAAAACCAACAGCGAGGAGTATTCCAAGGAAGTACAGGCCGGCCATCTTGGAAACACAACCAGTAGAGGTTGCCCGTCCAACTATTTAATGTTTTTATAATCCGCGCAACATCGTCAGAGGATTACTAGATAATATTATTATCGTTAAATAATTATAATTCGCGCTTAACTTACTGATTTAATTGTCTTATCTGTTTGTACTATAGAAATATGTAATTTGTTAGTCATTCGGTGTTTGTAGTCACTTGGTAACAATTGAAGGTAGGTAGTTAGGTTAGGTCAACATATTGGTTTTATTGTATTTAAATTGCATTTTTTTATGGGATAAGCCGGTAACCGAACCGACGGATCACCTGATAGTAAGCAATCGGCGTCGCCCATGGACACCTGAAACACCAGAGGAGTTAAAAGTGCGTTACCGGCGTTTTAGGAATTTGAGGATTGTGGGGGATTCGGGGATTAGGGAGACTAGGGAGGGGTGATAATTGGGCTTCCGCTAACCTCACTCACACGACGAAACACAACGCAAGCGTTGTTTCACTTCGGTTTTCAGTGAGGCGTTTTTGTTAAAAGAAATATTATTTGGTACTTAATCGATTTGTATCCTAAGTTCTTACAATAACAATAATTTTGTTTCCATTGCATAGCGTGCAATTATCTTGATCATCCCCCGTAATAAAAACTACAAGAAGTGTACAGCTAAATATTGGCCTCTTTCAATGAATTCGAGTTAGGCTGACAAATATTTTTTTAATATAGTAACGAGGATTGCTTTCTCGTTCCACTCCATTCGAAACTACACTTTGGAACGAGCGCTGGAATTGAATTGAAAAGTGTAGCTTCACTGACGGACGGATGGACGCACAATTCAATTTTTGATATTTCAAAAATGCCTAATTAAGGATTAATAAATTGAAATAAATGCTTTGACTTTGACTTTGCTATACTGTAACTGTCAAAAATTTTCGGACCGCGATCGAGTTTACTTCAATCTTTCGAATTAAAAGTTACAGAATACCGCAGGACGTCAGCCTGTTGGAAGCAACTTGAATCAGGTAGCTCTTAGGACCTTCATTAGGTCACCTGTTCACATTCTAGATTTAATTTTGTAAAACAAATTCTTACTCTTTTATAATCCATATAAACAATAGTCGTAATAGAATAATTATTGTACAAAATAATATTTACATTTATTACAACGTAATTATAATTTTAATTATCAATAAATTTTATTTGTCCGCTCCCGTGGTCGCCATCAGGCGCGATCTCCAGGTCCTCAACGTTCCAGTCGAAGTTGATGCCGGTCGTCTTCTCCAGCCAGTCGTGGTAGTACTCCGGACGGACGTAACCTGGTGGAAATGTAAGCTTTTGATAAAAGACATGTAGATGAAATTGCATAGGACGGATCTCTTTCAAAAGAGATAAAGAGATTTCGGGATTTGACACACATTTATTTATTTATTTAGTTACATCTAATACAATAATGTTGTCAATCTATAAAAAAAATTAATAATTAACATTGTAACAACGCAGCCATATTGATTGCACTTATCCATCAAGTAAAATATATGTTATGTTATGTTATTTAAATATTATGTTATATCTATTTTTATTATCTTCTAGGTTTATAATTTAGCTTTTATCTTTTTATTCTCACTCTCTTGTGTTAAACTTTTATATTGGTATTTTATCAAATTCTATTGTATTGTTATTTTTTGTTCCTTGCATTCAAGCCGTATGCCGAATAAAACTCTTTTCATTTAATTTCATCAGTCGTTACCTTTATGAACTCCGCCAATGAGCAACTGAAAACATCTAAGTTTTGTCCAACGCTGTTAATTATTTGAATGGCTCTAGCCACAGGAGCATATAGACCTATATTAGTGCGAGTGGTAGGTGATGTCATATAATATAGTGATCTTCATTCCACTCCTTAGTAGTACGTACAAGGAAGCATAATGCATAACGCTTCGCGTGGGTGAGACATCCACCATGAAATCGGTGACGCTTCACTGGTACGATGGTTGTTGTTTTGTCGTGGTACGATTAAGGAAAGGACTGGGAGGTATTTTACTTACCTGACGGGTTGTGTGTGTTGCATCCACGAGAGGATCCGAAGCTCATGATTCCGATCTGTGTGAGCTTGCCGTCAACATCTACCAATGTTAGAGCACCGCCACTGTCACCCTGGGTGCAAAATATAACGTGGGTTAGGAAAATTGTAATAAATCAGATGATAACGGTAAAATAGATAGCACTGTTGTTGCGGTGTTGTTTAAACTGTGTAACTTCTTTTATTTTGGTGAATAAAGTTATTATTATTATTATACTTGTATTTCAGGTTAAAACCTCACCCATTTCTGGGGAACTACACCATAGTTGCGGACTTTTGGTCAAAGCAACTTTGGGGGTGATACTTGTGATGATCTAATCTATTGATAAGAATTTTCGGACTATTCTGCATGTGTTGAGTATAACTGCTTTCTGTAGGAGTGTGAATGTGAGGGGATGTAAATCGAGGGTCTTTAGACTTGTGTGTAGTGTTTTGGGGATGACGCCTGTGCTAGATATAATAATAGGAATGGTCTTAACAGTGTGAACTTGCCACTGAGTTTTGAGCTCAATGGTCAAGTCTGTATATTTAGAGAGTTTGTTGGTGTGAGTCGAACTTAGGTTATGGGTGTTAGGTATGGCTATATCTATTAGAAACACTATTTTGTTTTTCTTGTCGTGAAGTGTAATGTCAGGTCTGTTGTGATGTATGGTTTTGTCGGTTAGTATGGTTCTGTCCCAATACATTTTAAAATCGGGTGAATCTAGGATGATTTGGGGTGTGTACTTGTAGTATGGAGTTTTCTCTGCTATGAGTTTGTGTTTGAATGCGAGTGCTTGGTGTATGATAGCTGCAACCTGGTCGTGTCGGTGTTTATAGTCTGTTTGTGTGATGGATGAGCATGCCCCTGTAATATGTTGGATCGTTTCAGGTTGTTTGTGGCAGTGCCGGCAATGGTCACTGCCAAGGATGCTATCGCGGATTATGTATTTTCTGTAGTTCTTGGTGTCAATCACTTGGTCTTGAATGGCTAACATGAAACCTTCTGTTTCAGGGAACAGCTCGCCTCGCTTTAACCACGCGTTTGACGCTATCTTGTCAACGATAGGAAATCGAGACGATGTCGGCCATGGAGCGATTTCTGTTGCCAAGCTTGTATCTTCTGTTCTTTGTTGATTGTTGTAATTTGTTTTGTTCGGTCTGCTAGTGAGAGTGGTGTGAATGTGTCTGCCTGACATACAGCTTTATGTAATAATGAATGTTGTGAGCGATTGTAAAAGAATTTTCTGAGTAATATGATCTGATTATTATGAAGGTTTGCGATATCAATGAGTCCTCTGCCACCCTCAATTTTAGGCAGGGTTAATCTCTGAATACAAGACCTAGGGTGATGTTTTCTGTGTTTAGTCATAGTGGTATTAATTATTCTTTGTAAAGTTGTAAGGTCAGTTTGAGTCCAGCGGATAATACCAAATGAGTATGTTAAAATCGGGATAGCGAATGTGTTTATCGCTTTGATGGTGTTTTTTGCGTTAAGGTGAGTATGTAATATCTTGTGTAATCTGTTCCTAAGTTTTTCTTGTAATAGTTTTTTTGTGTCTTTAAGGTGAATTTCTGTAGACTGATAATAACCTAGGTATTTATAACCCTCGTTAGGATCAACAGCTTCTATTAGTTCTTGGTTGTCTAATTCGTATTCTATTGGTTTTGCTACTCCCTTAACAATTGACTGAATTTTGCACTTATCTATTCCAAACTCCATGCAGATGTCATTTGAAAAAGTTTGTGTTATATCAGCGAGGGTGTGTATTTCATTCCGGTTGCTAGCGAATAGTTTTATGTCATCCATGTACATGAGATGAGTGAGGGTTGTATGCTGAGATTCGTGTTTAATTTTGAATCCTATTCTATTATTTTTGTTGAGCATGTTCGAGAGTGGGTTAAGTGCCAGGCAAAACCACAAGGGGCTTAGCGCGTCGCCTTGGAAGATACCTCTTTTTATTGGGATACATTCTGTTTCAATGATGTGATTTGGGTTGAATATTTTTAACTTGGTGTTCCAATAAGGCATTATTGTTTCTAAAAAGTCTATGATTACGGGGTGGATTTTATAGTGTTTTAGAATATATATGAGCCAGGAATGTGGTACAGAATCGAAAGCTTTTTTGTAGTCAATGTACATGGTAACAATGTCGCGTTTCTGCTTAAGTGCTTGTTTACAGGCTACCGCGTCAATAGTGAGTTGCTCTTTACATCCCTGGCTATTCTTCCGGCAGCCTTTTTGTTCTTCTGCTAATATGTTGTGTTCCTGTATGTGTTTGTATATGGATTCACTAATACACGATGTAATGATTTTATATATATTCTGGAGACATGTGATGGGTCGATATTTAGCAGGATTAGCGGTGTCTGACAGATCTTTTGGCAGCAAATATGTAGTGCCTTGTGTGATGTATTTTGGCATTGAGTTAGGTGACTGTATGAATGTGTTGATGTGTTTGAGCAGTAGTGTGTGAGTGGATGTTAATTTTTTGTACCAATAGTTATGTATATTGTCGGATCCTGTAGCTTTCCAATTATGTGCCCTAGCAATAACCGTTTTCAGCAAGTGTAAGGAAATCTGATCAAATTTCATTTCGGGTGTATCTTTCCACCTTTCTATATCCTCTTCGATCCACCCATTTTGCCGATGTTCTATTGGGTTCGACCATATATTGGACCAAAAGGCTTGTAGGGACTCTGGGCTTGGTGGAGATGTGGTGTTTCCCGGTGATGTGTTGTTTTGTTGGGCTAATTTTCTATAGAATAATTTTTCGTTATTGCAGAATTGTTTATTTTGTGTCTTCCTAATTGTTGTTTCCTTATATCTTCTTAATCTATTTGCAAGTGTATTGAGTTTTTGTTTTAGAGTGTCTAGAAAATGTATGATGTCGGTGTTTTCCGTTTCGTGATGTGTGTGAGTTTTGTATGTTTGTTTTATGTTATAGATGTGCATTTCTAGAGCTTCCGATCGAGTGCCCTTTGCATATTCTGTAAGCCTCCCAATGTGGGCCCTAAGATCACTAATTCTACGTTCTAAACGTTTTTGCCACCAAGGGACTTTGTGTGGTTGACTGGTGTATCCAGTATTATCTTTGACTCGTGCACCATTAAATTTTGCTGCAGCGTATGCTGCACAGTATATTGAAGTCTGGAGTGTTGAAAAATCTGTATCTGAGGAGAGTGTCTTTGGTAGTATATGATTGTTGAGGTGACTAATAATAGCTGCTAATTTCCTCGAGGATTTTAGCTTAGGTAAATATGGTCTAGTTGTGGGGTCGGAGTCTTTGAATTTATTGTAAAGGTCTACGTACGTTACCTCTAATTGTTGGATTATTTCGGTAGGGAGATATATGGTGTTTTGTCCTGTTTGTGTGTTTTCCTCTTCAGCGATTGTTGGCATTTGTACTGCATTATGATCACCCATGGTAATCGTTGGTGTGGGTTGTGTTAATGATTCGTGTATTGTGTGTTGTGATACTGTATCATTGAAATTATCAGTATTTGCGGAAGCTAGTTCGTTTCTAACTTCTTCTCTGATTTGGTTTAATCGATCTACGGAGAGAAGCTGGTTATTAACAATAGATCTCCGTTGGTCTGAGATTCTTTGTGCGGAAAGATGTGCGATAGAGGGGCATTTTGAGATGATGTCTTGATGCAGTAGTGGTCTGTATGTGGTTAAATTTGTTTCGAGGTTTGTTAAGCGATAGTAGCTTCTCATAATGGTTTCGTTTAGGTGATCAGTCCATCGCATTCTACGGGAATGCGAATGGTCGTTGTCTGTATGGTGTGTTGATGATGTAGGTTGGTTTTGTAGTAAGAGTGTAACTTCTTCCTTAATTTTTTGGATTTCCTCTTTTGTAAGCAAGTTGCGCTGGACAATAGCACGGCGTTGGTCTCCTATTCGTTGCTTTGAAGCATTCATTTCTGGGTATTCAGAATTAAAGCGTATGTGTAATGGCGTTAGGTAAGTTCTCGTGTTTGTTTCGAGGTCTGTGAGGATGAAATAGTGGCGCATTATGAAAATATTCATGTTTTTAGACCACGTTTTACGTGTGCGCCGACCACATTGGGCGGGTGCAGTAATTTCGGCTGAGATAGCCTCCTGCACAACATCCCTAGTGGATGAAAGTGATGATAGAGACGAATTAGGTGAGCTTGGTTGTTGAACGTTGAGATATGATGCTGGCGATGAGGGGATTGATGAGAATAATGATGACGTTGGTGAGGAACATGATGGTGATTGTACATGTTGTGCTGCAACAGCTTGTGACTGGGCAGCTTGCGATACGGTGCCCTCCCCAGAGTACGAAGGGCAGCCCGGGCTGGAAGGCCCGGGGCGGGATTCTCCATCGTTGTTAACTCCGGTACCCGCCTGGGGTATTACTCTACTTCTTAGTCGCATCGCATAAATGTGAGGGGTTGTTTTATATGAGGAATGGGCAAGAGTAGATATTATGACAAAAGAAGTGAAAAGTTTAAAAGTCGAGGGAGATAAAATAGATAGAGGAAATTACAGAGGACGAAATTTAGGAAAATAATACATATTGGCCTGTGACTGTGCCAAATGCATTGATGATTGGGACCGTTAGTTGGAAGGGTGTGGCCGAGGTGTGAGTGGCTGTTATATTTGTATCTCCATTAAAAGGGTGGACCTAGTTCTTAGTGACCTATTTATAGTACATGCCTTCCCTAAGCCCCCCCACCACGTCAAGGTGGCCCCGTAGGGGGGTTATTATTATTATTATTACTGTTGTTGCGGTGGTTGGGTAACCGGCAACCGTGCAATATGTCATGGGATAGATGCCCGCACGGAGCATCTTTTTGTGTGATCCACAAATTATTGTTCCGGATCTGTTCTATCATGCGTATGTGAACTTGTTCGTTGAACGTGGTTCGAAACTAGTAGAGCTTTTCTCAGTATATTCACGTGAGTTACTCGCGATTTTTAGTTTATTTTACAATTATTACACATTATTACACACAATCACAACATAATCAGATTTAATCATAACTAAATTAATTTAAAATTTCAGCTTACGTGACTATAGTGAGAAAAACTCTTTCAAGATTTTAGATTCTTTCATAATTTAATATTCTCACCGTGCAAGGGTTCTGGCTGGTGTCATTGAAGAACTGCGCGCAGATAGTCTTCCGATCATCGATGACCTGGCTGTGAGGGTACCAGGAGCGGCAGACCAGCATGGAGAGCCCGCGCTGGTAGGTCCAGTACAGGATGTCAGGAACGATACCACCTGGGGATAGATTATAGAACCGATAAGTTTTTTACGTATCACATTGAATACACACACATACTCACATACATTAGTCCAATAATTAATTATTATGTTTTTGGCTTACTCGCGTAATTATTTGACGAGGAACTCGACTAGTTTCAAGCCATGCTAGAGGCTCATATTTGAGTTCCTCGTCAAATCCTACACGGTTGGCGCCACGTTGGTGCGGTGGTTAGGCAGCTGGCTGCTGCGCAACGTGTCGCGGGTACGATTCCCGCACGGAATAACTCTTTGTGTGATCCATAGATTGTTGTTTCGGGTCTGAATGTCATGTGTATGTGAACTTGTATGTTTGTAAACGCACCCACGACCGGGAGGAAATCCTAATGTTTAGAAAAAAACCAACAAAATAATTACGTGAGTAAGCCAAAAAGATAATTAATTTGAGACATAAGTACCTACGTCTCACGAAAGTTGTTATAACATAGAAAAATTGAAGCCTGCAGGGTATCACAGTTGTTAGGTGAAAAATCAAGTAACCAACACTCAACAAGTTTAGCTTTCGTTTTTAAAGAATAAAGAACATCTTTAACACTTACCGGCCCACCAGTCATCAGTGCGTCCATACCCGCTCTGTGTCAGCTGCAGGAGGGTGTACTCCTCCAGGTTACGCTGACTGCTCTGTATCCTGATTGGCTGGATGTAGTCTGAGGAAGAGAATATTGAACATTCATTTGCTACTAGACTATCGGCCTGTAAACAAGGGGGTTTTCTGCGTGACAGTTAGTACATCGCTTTTTATAAGGTTTAGATTTATCAAAGAGTGTCTAACGTGTGGTGGTCTAAGGGACTATGACTATGCATCTTCATTGTTCTCAGTACAATCTTCTGCCGACTGGATGTAGAGGTAGTTTCAAAAATTCAATTCTCTTTTCAGATGAAAGAATTAATTCTACATGTATTATTTTTTATCCAATAAGATACTTTTTTATTGGTTATCGGTGGGTGTTTGGTCTCTATCATGCCTGCCCATAAGCAACGTATTCACTCGAAGCTTGAGGACAAGGTTGTACCCTTCAAGAAACACAGGCTCTGGCAATGTGTTCTATCCTTTGCTGTTCGCATAAGGAAACTTGAAGCGAAACGCTTCGTTCGAATTGGTGGAACATCTATCATACATATTATAATGGTGACGATTTGTCATTTGTACTGTGATCTTCATCAGGATTTTAGGAAACATTTTAATGTCTAGAATCCGCTTAATCCGCTAATTTCATTAGAAGCTTTTGTACTTCTTCCTACCTCCATAAGGTATGTAGCGGTCCAGCTTCAGCACTCCAATATCATCAGTCTGCACTGCAGTTTCCTCCTGGATGTAACCCTCGTGGACGTACCACTCTGTGGATTCCACCATATACCCTGGGGTTGTGATGTCCACCTGGCCTAGCCGGACTACGAATGTGAAACGCCTAAAAATAAAAATGAAATGTTATGGGACCTAAAGGGATGGGGTACCATAAAGGACAATGGAGGTGATACATTGATTATGGTTAGAATTTCAATATTTTGATGGAGTATCCACAAGTTAAAGAAAGAATAAGCACGGTTGGCTCGGGGCTGGGTAACTGGCTGCCGCGCAACGTGTTGGGGGCTCAATTCCAAAACAACGGTTTGTGTGATCCACAGATTGTTGTTCCTGGTCTGGGTGTCGTGTGCATGTGAACTTGTACTTTTGTAAACGTACCAACGACACCGAAAAATATCATAGTGTGAAGGAACATTTAAAAAAAATGGTGGTTGGCTTTTAAAAAAGTGGAAAAGGAAAGTCTGTTAAAAAAGAAAGATAAGATCAAATAATCGCGAAGAACCTAACGGGTAACCGGGGCTCCGGCTCGAAGTGCAGGAGAAGGAACGGGGTTTCAGTAAGAGTCTGACACTCCCTCCCGCCTCACCCAGGCGGGAGAAGACATTCGAAGGTTTTTCCCCCTTAAAAAAAAGATCTAATAAGTGGTTAAATAAGAACCTGGCCAGACAGTGAGCAGCAGTGAGGATCCATTCATTGGTCAGTATAGAACCGGTACATGCGCCTACACCTCCTGTGGGCCCAACCATACGAATGCTGACGGTGTAAGGAAACTGTCCATTCACAGCCTCCCAGCCGCTCACGATTCTAGATCCTGGAAGATATGTTCATAGGATTTACACTGTTTCATCCTAAAGCAGGAAGAAAAATGTATTGAAAGTAAATGTTATTCTCACCTCGAAGAGAGTCTTCGATGTATGCGATCTCAGGTTCGATTGGCTCGCACTGTAATGCAGATAATATATTAGATTCTTTCAACTTAGATTATGCAAAAATGAAATGGTAGTCCGAATTATTGATCAGTAGCAATGTAGGAACTTTTGGATTTACTTTTATACCTACAGTTACCAAAACCATGGACCTGAATTAATTATTAAGTTTTTCGGCTTACGCATGTAATTAATTGACGAGGAACTCGACTAGTTTCAAGCTATGTTAGAGGCTCATATTCGTAAGCAACATTACGCGACCCGCGACGCGGCGACTGTCGTACTGTTACTCTAAATAATTACATGAGTAAGCCGAAAACCATAATAATTAATTTAGTATATCTCACGAAAGCTATATCTGATTTTGGAAGATTATTCCAGTCAGATAAAAATGGTGGAAAATGGCAGCTAAAGGTACCGTTACATACTCTAAAATAGAATGCTAAAATGCATTCTATTGAGAAAGTTTGAAAATGTTCAAAATTCGAACGCCTGTCGACTCGCAGACATGCCCGAAATGAGTATACATGCTAATTTTGAGCAACATTCCAACACACATGCTTCTAAGTGACTAGTGACAAGTGCTCAATTGACGCATACTTTCGTGCTTGAAAGCATGTGTATCTTTGCAGAATTTATGGTCCTGAATCTCCATAGTCCTTCAATCAATCAATCACTCTAGTCTATAGACGTAGTTGACATCACCACACTAAATCATCACAAGTTACTGAAAATCAAATTAAGAAGGTACCTGAGCGACACCAATAATGAGGAGTAATCCAAAAACGTACAGGGCGGCCATCTTGGAAACACAACCACCAGATCTTGATTCCTTACTGTATTTATGCGTTTTTAATCCGAAACACTTCATTAGGGGCTTTATGGCTTAACAGATAATATTTATCGTACGCTAATCAACTTATTTTGACATCACGCTCAATTAACAGATTTTTTGTTTCTTATCAATCATTACAGAAGGTAGTGAAAGGTTTTATGTAATACTAGCTGACCTGGCAAACTCGTACCGCCTACTTATCTTCTCACCTTTTAAACCTACCCTGGACTTCTATGAACATTTACAAGACCAAAATTAGGCAAATCGATTCAGCTGTTCTTGAGCCTTAGCGAGCTTTTTTTTTAAGCGGGGAAAATCATCGAATGACTGCTCGCGCCTGGATGAGGCGGGAGGGAGTGTCAGACTCTTACTAATTAAAAACCGACCCGTTCCTTCTCCTGCACGTCGAGCCGGAGCCCCGGTTACCCGTTAGGTTCTCCGCGACTCCGAATCGGCATCGTCCCTATTGAGCCCCATTTGTGGTATATGGTATTAGAAACTCAGAGAGCCATCAGATCAGACCAGAGCCCTTATCGCAAAAGTTTGGGCTTGGTAAAAATTAAATTGAGTGAGACAGATTTTTAAATTTAGTAAAATTTTTACACAGAACATGGTTACTAACTAACTAACTGCGACCCAATGGGGCCAGAGCTTCTAAGCTGCTGATTTTGATGACAGACAGAAGTACACTTAGTTCTCTGTATATTTTCCAAAAAACTCAGATTCTGTGGTCTCGTGCAGAAATCTTTTACCCGACTGTGGAAAGGAGTACCCTTCCAACAGACGGAAAGGTTTTTAGGTTGCTTTTTGTTAATTTTATACTTAAGTTATTTACCGTCACAAGGTTATTTACCAACAAGAAAAATCGTTTTTATCGTTAAATTAATTACTATTTCATATCAGTTAACGATATCCGTATACAACTGAACCGTGCACGATATGCCCAATTAGTTTAAGCCAGTAATCAGCTGTAAGTCTGTGTACGTATGTACCTATTTGTTAAGTTTTGATTTAGTTTCGCTACATTGACCACAAAGGTTGTTGTGAAGGAGATTCGTAAAAAGATAAATTTATATTTTTAACATCTACATTATCTATATATATAAAAATGAATAGATACCTTTTTCTTTTATAAAAATCTTTGAACGCTGTTTTCTTTCTTTTCAAAAATAAAGGAATGTTTTCTTTGGAGCAAAATGTTCTATCTAAAGTACTAAGAGTACTCCCCGTTCAGGACGCATAACAAAATTCCACCCTGTATAGATTTTACAGGGAGGGGATGCACCATCAATATAAAGTGTTATATAACTAGAGTATAATGAAACATGAGACTGCCTCGTTGGCCGAGTGGTCGCAAGTGCGACTGCCGGGCGAGGGGTCTCGGGTTCGATTCCCGGGTCGGGCAAAGAATTACTGGGTTTTTATAAAAAATCTCAGTAGTAGCACGGAGTCTGGGTTTGTGCCCGGTATATGGCAATAGGCTCACTCCCTATTACATGGGACTCATAACATAAATAGTGAAAAGTGGGTGTTACATTGTACAGTGGCATAATGTGCACCTCTGCCTACCCCTTCGGGGATAAAAGGCGTGATGTTATGTTATGTATAATGAAACAAAATGTAAAATAATATATTCCATATATTTATTTATACATTCTAAGTACATTCTGTACAATAACATTAGGTACTAAATATCACAACTGATTTCGAAATAAATACATTTTCTGACAACTGCTTACATCTCCGCTAATATTTGTATTAAGCGATATTAATATCTAATCTTAATATTTTATAATTACTTCTTTGTTGGTCTATACGTCATCATAACGCCTTATATTCTTCAATAGACTGCGGTATCACATATAACGATTACTTAAACAATTCCTTAGTAACGTTGTTCCGAAAACAATAGGATAGTTGCCAGGGTATGAAAATTAAAAATTTAATTAATCCGTCAGTTAGATAATAAAAAAAATATTAGATACGTATTTTCTCATATAAAGTTCAGTTCTCGGATAAAGTTAAAAATACTTAGATAAAAAAGTTTAAATTCGGAGTGGGAGATCGTGACGTCACAATGTGCTACATTTTATTGTACGTTGTGACGTCACACGATATTTCAAATTAATATATCGTCGAAATTATTTGATATTGTGAAAAAAGAATAACTACATGTCTAATGTTTTAAATAAATCTACCAGACGGACATTAAAATAAAATGTAGGATACTACCCTATAGCTAAAGACTGGGTCAAGTAGCCATTAAATGATTCTGAGTTCGTCGGTAAGGCACATATATATGTATATGTCGTAGGATAATTTGATACTTCGAATCTTCGCGGAAATCCTAGGGGTTTTGCGAAAACGCGGATAATTAGACATAGGCGAAAAATTATCAAATCTTACTGGACAAAGTCAGGATTTTTGCGAAAATACTAATTACTATAGTAAGATTTGATGTGCTCAACACTGATTGGCTACAATTTTGTTGGCTGACTTCTAATTGGTTCCTAGTTTGCCGATGATTAACTTCAAGTATTGTATCATAGAAGGTTTAGAATAGGTGAGAAAGAAAAATCACTTAATTGATTTTTATAAACCCTTTATTGAAAATTTTAGTATGTATGTTGTTTTCTACAGACAATAGAAGATCTCAGTCGTAGTAAAAAAAAAGATCCAATTTTAGGGAGTAATCCATAAATTGGATGAAACTGGTCGTTCAAGACGACGAAAAAACATTTAAGACATCAACCAATCAGAGACGATCTCTTATTGAACGCGCTGGCCGACCAATCAGCGTTCTTATTTCATAACAGCCAGCGTTTCGTTTCGCAATCTTACTATAGTAACGAGTATTTTCGCAAAAATCCTGACTTTGTCCAGTAAGATTTGATAATTTTTCGCCTATGTCTAATTATCCGCGTTTTCGCAAAACCCCTAGGATTTCCGCGAAGATTCGAAGTATCAAATTATCCTACGACATATATAAAGTATCTACCTGCAGTAGCCAGCAAGTCAAGGTACTCCTTTTTATCTTTATTGGATTTTCAACTTTACAACTTTGTGATAGAGTCGAAAATACAATAAAAATTGTCAGTTTGGTGTAGATTTACCCGCTGTTCTATACACATTTTTTTGTAGAATTACGTTACATAATTGGATAGATATATAAGCTTAAAGAAAGACACCGGGTACTTGGGCAGAATTAATGCACTTTTTTATATTATTATCGGACTATTGGTACCAACAAAGCTTACAGCCCGCCACACTTTAAGCAGACACCGTAACCTACACCCGCAACACCAGAGACGTCACAACTACGTTATGGACCATGTAGGGAAGTACCTAAGTTAATTGCAAATAACAGCTTACCCACGTCAACTAATCGAGTAAAGCTCAACTAATTACAAATCAGAACGGGACTCTTGTTCTTAAGCAGCGTGCACGACGCGGTGACGTCATCAGTTGACGTGAGTAAGCCGTTATTTTCAATTAATTTAGTATGTCCTTCGATAATTATATAACAATGTAGGAAACTATTTGATAGCGCCAGCATTTTCGTGGATCGCGGTTTCCAGAAAATGCGGCAGGGACACGGATAATATATTTATGAGCTTTATCCGGGGATCGAACCCAAAAGCACAATTATTCAATGAAGAGGGAACAAGGCAGTGTTTTATTTAAATTTAATATAACAATATGTTCATACAACATTTACCTATATTCGATTTGTTTTTACAAAACATTTAAGTACTAGATATTGCTTTTACTAAAATTACGTATATATTCTGCATTTTACTAGGCACGTACAAATAAGCGATGATTAAAAAATATACTTCATAACTTACTATTCCATTCATATTAAACATTTTTATTGAATTGAGAAAAGCATCAGATGGATTGCATAGTAGCAACTGCGCGCAGTCGATATTTTTACCCGACTGTAGGTATTACTGAGTGTATTACAAGACATTTAATTTTACAAAAAATAAAAATAAAACCAGAAACTAAAAATCTAAAAAGATTACATGTGGTTGAATCTGTCACAACGCAATCCGTCTGATGCCACCTCAAACTTCACAGAAAAAGCTTACGACAAAACGATAAAAATAAATAATCATACTAACATAAGTACAGATTTTTAAGTAATAGTCTATGACACTAGATATTGTACAATAATAATAATAACAGCACAGTTTGATTATAACACAATATTCATACATTTAGGAATATTTCACAACGTCTGATTAAGGATAACCGACGAATTATATCACTATTTACTTATCCCCAATCTCCCTAATCCCCAAACCCCTTTTTTCAAATTCCTAACCTCAAAAGGCAAACAATGGGGCCTATTGTCTTTTTGCTCACCCGATAGCTAGTGTGAACCTCTCGTTCTTCGTCCAATAGGGAATTGACTAGTGTCATCCCATTGGGCGTTCAATATGTGACAGCTGCAGTGATTGGACAAAAATCCTATTCTTACATTTGTGCCATTTAGTGAGCAAAATAACGTTAGCCTCCATTCACTTGTGATTCCGGCGCCGATTGATTATCATTAGGTGACCCGCCAGCTCGATTGCCTGTCCCATAAAAAAACCGCAAGTAAAAATATATTTGTTTTTATAGTATCAAGGGCAAACTAGCAGATGGATCACCTGATGGTAAGCAATTAGCGCTGGCCATAGTCACCCGCAACACTAGAGGAGTTACAGGTGCGTTACAAGAATTGGGTACTTTCCTTAATCAAAACTAAATTATTTCGATTGTTCAATACAATAAAATATTAAAAAATAATCACACTTTCGTTAATTGGTTTGATGATCAACTCAATTTTGGTCTTTTTCTAGCAGATTTTTAAGAAATAAGTATGTTGTTTGACGCTAAAAATATGGGACGTCACAATACACAATCTCGTACAAAATTGACAGTTCGATAAAAGTATTGAATTTGACTAGTTGGTAAGTACCCAATTACGTTCGAGGTTTGAAGGTCGTATAGGTTCAGAAATACACAATTTTGTTGTGTAAGGCAGACAGTTCCGTAAAAAGCACATAGTTGCTAAAAACTCAATTAGGCATTATGAAACAAACCCTCCCTTAAATTTTATTAGCACTTTAAGTACTAGATTCCTATATAAATATAGATAACCAATATTGTTAGTGAACATTTAATGGGACTACAAAAAGTCCGTAGGCAGCTTTAGTTGATCGTTCTTACAATGTTTATACAATTTAATTCATCATTGATGAAATGCTATCTTAAGAAAATTTGAATTTTTTATTTAATTCCCATTTAAGAAGTTCAAAAGTTATTTTATACATGTTTTTTTCCCAAATATTTTACATCCTTCTTGACCATTTTTTATGTATAAACCCTCATCAATGATTTTCCATTATTTATTTTTACATTTTAATATATATATATATATATAACCCCCATTAATGGCTTCACTTCTAAAGTAGACCATATTTAATATTAAAAAATATAAATAACCCCAATTCAGTTTACATTTCAAAACAGTTGTTTTTATAACAAAATTATTACATAATTAAGTAGTTCCATAATAAGCGTGTAAAAAGTTTCATAATTACTAGTATTCATTATATTTTATTTTTATATTTACCCTGTATATTTCTTACTGAACTTTACTTATTCATAAATGGATTTATAATAGGAACTAGGTATTCTAGGAGATTTACAAGGACTGAGATAAAACATGGCGGTATCAGGTGTAAAAATATGAAAGGGATCTTGGCAGAATGGCACAGATCTCATTAAGAACAGATTTTTGTATTTTTTTTAGTTCCTCGTCATGTACAGTTCACTTTTATAATATTTCCGTTGATTTTGTTTATCGTGTGATTTGTGACACTTATTCGGAAATTCAGTTGCAAATATTTTGTAGACTTTTTGCGATTTAAATAATTCAATGTCTTTTCCCATTCTGCCTAGATCCTAAACCATAACTTATTATTACAATACAGAATGTAGGTTAGGTATAAAAAATCTGCACTTTACAGAAAAAATCACAAAGAAAATCCCAGGGTAATTTAAAAAATAAAAAGGGAGAAAAACGTGATTGACCTATTTCACTTGCGCTATTATACAACCTATATAATCACTATAATTCAACTCATAACATTACACTCAGTAATCTGACATCTGTCAACTGTCAAAATAATTTAAATGTCAATGTCAAATTACTGAATGTCATTGGTTTTTTGTATACATTTGACTACTTTGTTCCCTAAGGGAAGGTTTTTCAGCCTCACGTGGTTACGGTGACGGTGACTTGTTTCTTAGATTCTAGATATTTGTAGAATAACACTGCGTCATGCACTGTTGGGAACGTCTCCATCTGTAGTATGTCAGTTTCTATTGAGTTGTACCTGTCTATCATTTCTAATACTGGACCTGTACAGAGAAAATTATCATTTATATAAGTTTTACTATCTTTAAACTTAACTCTATGGTTAACTGTTCCAGAATTACGTGAAATATTAAATAAAAAGTATCTAATTCGGAGATTTAATTACGTATACATTATAGAAAACGAAGAAGAAAAGATTGTTTTACATTCTTCTACAATTTTTTAAAAACAATATTGCCACAGACAATAAACATCTACACAAAAATGGCGCCAAATTTGATAACTTTCGCTTAACCATATTCGATATTAAAAGTAAAAAACTATACTATGGATTATTAATTTACCGTTAGCTCCTGCGAGTAGAACAGTGATGTTGTTGGTAACCAATTCTTTTTGCGCTGCCACCAGACTCTTGATGCCAGGTCCGTCCACGTAAGACAAAGCCGTTACATCTATTATCACACATTGCACCTGGAAAGAAAACAATGTTAATGTTACTATAAGTAAATGACACAAGAGAAATATATACAGAGAGTCCCTGAAATCGACGTCTAAATAGCACTCGGTTACAAGAGTTATCAGAATAATCCAAGTCATCATGAGTCATGTCAGAATAAAAAAATCTAAGTCCAGGAGATAAATATAGTTTACGTCACACTATAAGAAAATAAATAATGGACAACGTACCCTATTACTAAGATTAGGATCCCACTCGTAAGACTCGCTCTTGGTGAGGTTGTTGTCCTCATCGTGAGCTACCTCCGCGGGCTTCATGTAGCCAATCTTGAGGAACAGCTTCTTTTGGAACAAATTCTTTGTTGCGAAGTTTAATCCACCGCAGTAGTGGAAGATTTTGATGCCGGGGAGTTCTTCCGCCTATAATAGAACAAATAATATAATAATGTTAAATTGCCAAAAGAGAACATTTCACTATAAAACCGACTGAATGTAAATAGGTAAAGCTGCGAAAAAGAACATTTAGAAAATTATAGAAAAAAAGGTTTGTATCAATATTTCATTGGCATTAGACCTCCGTACAAAACTAAAAAACCTATCCCATAAATGAATGTCAAAAAAAAGAAAATCAAACGTCACGTCAAACGCGTCAATTCATTATAGAAAAATGACGGAGCCGAATAGAAGAGTCCACCGACTCATTTAAAAATATCATCGAGAAAATCACTAAATAAAATGTCGAAGTGCACCCACAGCCCTCACATGAGCAGGGCTTACTAAAATGCGTCTCATTTCAGACAAAACGTACGCTTACTCATCTAACTATGAAATCGGACTTTTCGACTTCCTAAAGTGGATTATCTTTACTTTCATCTACCTTTCAGTGATGTGTGTTGCCCAATTATTAATTTTAAACATCTACAACGATAATGAAATCGATTTCGTCAGTCGAGGAATGTTGCCAAGCGTGAATTGAAGACTAAAGCCCCATAATCTAGCACCATGATTTCCATGTACTTTTACTATTGGGTCTGTACCGAACTCAAACTGACTAACGATTTTATCTATATTTGAAGTCCTGTTGTTCATAAATAAAATAGTACTGCCGTCTAAAATGTTTTGTTTTATTACTTTTAGTAGTACCTAGATTTTACGGATCTATTTCGCTGATTATTTGATCAGCTTGATGATCAGAAAAGGATTCTTATTTAATTCTAATTTAAAACACAAAATTATTGTGTGTGATATATATACCAAATTCTCAACTAGCTCTAATAAATGAATTTTATTTTAATGTCCGTCTCGTAGATTATTTTAAAACATTAGACAAGTATTTTTCTTTTCTTTCTAAATTAAATACTTTCGACGATATATTGATTTCAAATATCGTGTGACGCCACGATTTACTACATTTAACGTACCTGACGACCTCCCGCTCCTAAACGTAACTCCGTTTTATCTAAGCATTGTTTCCTTATACGACAAAATAAAAAAATACGTGTCTAATATTTTTTCATTATTTAACTGACGGACTAATTACATTTTTAATTTTTATACACTGTCTACAACCATATTATAAGTGCGTTATAGTGTTGTGGAAACTATTGTTTTTTTTATTCTTGTCTAATATATCTTGTGATTCGTGAGAATATTTCGTTGCGGGATCAGAGACAGTGATTCATGTCCCTGAGGCGTGCCAGTCTTCAGTGTTCCGGTGTTTTTGGAATTGGGTAGTTTCCAGGGTATTAAAATTGAAAATCTAATTAGTCCGTCAGTTAGATAATGAAAAAATATTAAACACGTATTTTTTATTTTCTCGTATTAAGTTGCAATACTTAGATAAAATGGCGCTAAGTTTAAGAGTGGGAGGTTGTTACGTCATAACGTGCTACAAAATGTGGCACGCTGTGACGTCACACGATTTTTCAAATTAATGTATCGTCGAAAGTATTTAATTTTGTGCGAAAAGAAAAAATACGTGTATTAAAGTTTTAAATTAATGTACCAGACGGACATTCAAATAAAATTTAGAAACTACCCTATTATAACTACTGTTAATCTTGGTTTGTAGGTGTTGCAATGGTTTTGGGAGGTTATGGCGGACTTGTCCCATTTAAAAAGTGCATTGTGGGCCCTTGGAGAGATTGGGGATTTGAGTGGTACTTACCGCTCTGTATCTCTTGATATCAAGGTACAAGTCTGTGTCCAACACTTTTCCTAGAAGACAGGTGTATGGGTTCTGCGAACGTATGAATAGAGCTCCCAAACTGGCGAGGAGACCTGCTCCCAGACTGAAAAGAAAATTAGTAAGTTAAATTAAGTCATTTTAACGTTACTTTAGTTTTTGTATTTTGGAAGATGGAAAATAAAAGGAGGATTGTAAGTACTCGTTTCGTTTAAAATACTGACTTAAAATCAGTTTTGACTTCAACCTATAAGAGAAAAGAGAGAAAGTACATGTGACGTCACAGCGTGCCATCTATTTGTTTTCAATCTGTGAAGTTTGGATCAAAGACTCTGTTCCTAATGCTAACACCCGAATACTGCAAGGCTACAATTGGCTAGTTTCCTAGGTTTAAAATAAATTGTTTCAACTTTTCAATGCAATAAATAATTAAAAAATAATCATACTCTCATCCATTGATTTGACAATTTACCTACTTTTAGATTTTTTCTCGCTAATTTTAAGGAAATAAGTATGCTGTTTGACGCAGAAATATGATGACGTCATAAGTTGCGATCCAATACAAAACTCATAGAAAAGTATCGTTTTTGACATTTCAATAAAACTGTTGAATTTGGCTACCTGGCAACTACCGTATTTTAAGTTGTACTTAAATATCGTGCCATCTCTATCATTTTACAAAGAATTTGTAGTGACAGAACTATACTTAAGCGCGACTTAAAGTTGAGTGGAGTTCAGTATTCGGGCATTATGCTTATGCCCATAAACTAAGTTTTGCTAATAATAGGTAACTATATAGTCACACACTTACCCAATGTCGATGTTGATACACAAGGTGACCAGGAATGTCACTAACCACACCACAGCGTCCAGCTTACTTAAAATCCAGAACCTGGAAATAAATAAATAGGTATGTGTTAATAGATAATTTTATTTAATTTTATTTTAAATAGATAAAAAAATGTCGTGGTGGCCCTGAGGTTTAAGACGCCCGCTTCTCATGCAAGAAGGTACAGGTTCGAAATCTACCAACGGCAAGTACCAATGTGACTTTTTCCGAGTTATATGTACTTTCTAAGATTATATAGACACCGCTGACACACGGTAAAGGAAAACGTCGTGAAACCTGAGCTTATAATTTCTAATTATAAGTTTGTAATCGCCAACCCGCATTGAGCAAGCGTGGTGATTAGGTAATGCTCAAAACTTCTCCGTGTGAGAAGAGGCTTTGCTCTGCAGTGGGCATATAAAGGCTGTTGATGATTGATGATGATGAGATAATTTTATCAAGGACAAAATTACTACATCAGATAAAATATAGATGCTTTCCACTGTCTGTCTTTATGTATGCTTATAGGACTTTAAAAGTAAGCAACGAATTTTGATGCAGTTTTTAAATACTTAGCGTAATAGGGTAGATGACTAATTTTTATTTTAATATCCGTCTAGTAGATTATTTAAAAACATTAGACACGTATTTTTTATATTTTTACGGAAACGAATAGTTTCGAAGATATATTGATTCGAAATGTCGCGTGACGTCACTTCTATGTACATTTTCTACGTAGAAATGACGTTTTAGCCCCCACTCCTAAACTTTGATTCGTTATATTTGGGTATCATTTTATCATACAAAATACAAAAATACGTGTCTAATATTTTTCATTACCTAACTGACGGACAAATTAGATTTTTAATTTTTTAGATTTTTTAAAAAAATCTCAGTAGTGTGCACTTGTGCAGTAGCAGTGCCCGGTATATGGCCATAGGCTCACTCCCTATTACATGGGACTTATAACATAAATAGTGAAAAGTGGGTGTTACATTGTACAGTGGCATAATGTGCAGCCCGTGACAAAAGGCGTGATGTTATGCTATGTATTTTATAATGGTACTTACTTCTTAAGCTCAAATATCTGCATGAACATGCCCTTGAGTGAGACGACGATGATGGAGGCGAGCACACAGCGCGGCAACTGCTCGAAGAATGGACCGATCCATAGCAACACGAACAGGATCAGCGTAGCACTCACTATTGAGGTTATACCTGTTTTACCACCGGCCTGGAAATTATCAGACATTTTAGGAGTCTCTTATTTAATTATTATGAAGTTGGAGAAAAGCCAACAACAGTGGATGATATGTGCTTGATATGATATGACAATCAAGATAAAGTTTCGGAACAATTAGTTACTTTCCTTAATCAAAAATAAATTACTTCGACTGATCAATACAATAAAATATTAAACAATAATCATATTGATTATAAGACCAAATTAATTTTAGTATTTCTCCAGCAAATTTTTAAGAAATAAGTACGCTGTTTGACGCTAAAAGATGTGACGTCACAATACACAGTCTTGTACAAAATTCATAGAAAACTGTCGTTGTTGACAGTTCGAAAAAAGTATTGAATTTGACTAGTTAGCAAGTAACCAGTTGCAATTTTATGCTTATAAGCGTCGGGATCTGGAAGTATCCAATTTGCAAGACTGAAGAGGAGCAGTGTACCTAACCTCATAGACCGATTCAACAGCTAGTAGGAAGGGAAATTCATTGGATACTTCTCTTCAATGCAATATGCCACACTCAGACAATGAGTCAGCCAAGAAAGCGGCTAAATGTTTTATAAACAGATTGCTGTGTTGCGGGATATAAAATAGAAAAAAAAAAATAAGCGTTTCTCATTTTGTTTTCGAGTACCTAATATATGTAGATAAGCATTAAAAATATAATCAAACAGATTTGTTTTTTTCTTCTAGAAATTATACAAAAATTTTGCTAATATAATTGCAATTTGATTAAGGAAAAGCGCAAAAACACAAACGAGAAAACAAAGATAGACTTTAATAAAGATAATAATATAGAATTTCACTGAATAGTAATCGCGATCAATTTACTTAGGTACTATAATTAAAAATTTCTTTTTTCTTTTCACGATGGAAAAAAGCATTACCTGATATTGAATGTAGGATCTTGACAGACTAGCGCAGAATGGTGAACAACAGAAGAAGGAGGCAAACATGTTGCTGGCACCCTGTAGAAATAAAATAGTATTTTATATTGTTAAACAATAAAAAACATTTTTTTTTTGGGACTAGCCGCCAAGGTCTCCCTAAACCGCTGCAACTCCTGTAAACCCGGATCTACAGTAGATACAACCATGTAAACACCGGAACACTGAAGTCCGGCGCGTCCTATGGACATAAATATCTGTCTTGGTTCCCGCAACGAATTGAATCAGAAGATATTATAAGAGAAGAGGAAAAAACACGATTGTTTCTGCTTTCCCCGATGAATTACTGCGGGAGATAGAATGAATTAAGCCTAAAGGCACAAAAAATTACAATTATAAACAGAAAGAAATGGCAACATTATCACAAAAATTTTATACTAGTAACCCAGCATTCCATTTAAAAAAATACCGTTACGTTTAAAATCTAACGTTAACTTACCAGCGCCAATAATTCTTGGTTAGCATCAACTTCATATTTGTCCTTGGAGGCGAAGATGAGAGCCATCGACATGGAAATGGTGTAGGTAACCATGGTGATTGTAAAGCAGTCGATGGCAATGTCCGGCATGAGTTCTAGGGGGGGCACTGTTGGAGTGGGCAGGCTGAAAAGATTGAGATAGAAGATACATCATTGAAATAAATTTTGAATAAGAGCCACCGTGGGACTTGGAACTTGGGCCGAGCAGAAAGGTTTCAAGTTCGTGTCTGGTTCTTTTTTCGGCTTTTGGATGATTCTTCGTAAAGTTTAAATAGTGTAATCGTAAGACATTAGGCTATTGCCGATGATACTAATAACATTATTGGTGAAAAGTGGATTTATTTTATCTATTTTGTTTTCATGAGTTATGCTTCGGCACGAATGGGCCGGCTCGACCGGAGTGATACCCCGGCCTCACCGAAAACCGACGTGAAATAACGCTTGGGTTCTGTTTCGTCGTATGAGTGAGGTTACCGGAGGCTCAATTATCGCCCTCTACAATCTCCCCACACCCTGATCCTCAATAATCCTGAAATTCCTAATCCCCAAAAGGCCGACGCACTCGTAACACCTCTGGTGTTTCGGGTGTCCATGGGTGACGCCGATTGCTTACCATCAGGTGACCCGTCTGCTCGTTTACCGGCTTATCTATGTCATGTAACATTAGTCTTTTTTACAGTTCTTTTTCTAGTCCTAGATTTTTTCAGTCTATAAATGATAATGATCTGTTTACAAGTACTCACCCAGTAGGTATGTTTCCAACGAGACTGATGCCGTATGTCTCATGAAGATGTCCGAACCTTGAGGCTAGTGTACCGATCACAATGGCCAACAACTCTATAGGAACTGGCACACGGGATCTTTTGCTTACCCAGGGCTGGAAGACAAGGGGAACAAAACACATTGATCAAAATATTTCTGACATTTCATGATTTTTTGGAACAGAAGGATGAATGGATGAACGGATTGCATGGTTGGTGCAATAGCTGGGCAACCGGCTGCCGTGCAGCGAGTCGCGGGTTCTATTCCCGCAAGGCATATCAACTTTTTCTGATCCACAAAGTGTTGTTTTGGGTTTGAGTGTCAAGTTTATTTGAACTTGTATGTTTGTAAACGCACCCACGATACAGGAGAAAATCCGTATAGTGAGGGGCAATGCTTGTTTTTTTTTTAAAGTGGAAGCCATTAAACCGACGCTTGTTGAGCGAGTTTGACTTGCACTTGGCCAGTTTTTAAACGTCGGAGGACCATGCGTCAGCACGACTGGAGTGATACCACGGCCTCACAGAAGACCGACGTGAAACAAAGAAAGAAAAGAAAGAAAGAAAAAGCATTTATTCAGCACCAGGCACGATGCAGCATAAATAAAATATAAAAAGACAATAAAAGTGTGACAGTGGAAGTAATAAAAACATTGAATTGAAAAATTAAAACAGAAGAATTAGAAGAGAGACGCTGACAACATGCCTATGCTAAAAGGGTCACCCCCTCAGTGTAAGCCAGGCATACAAGTCGCCCAGCACTGATTTTCGTTCTGATGGTAGCAACGTTGTATGGTTAGACAAAGACACAACAAAGCTTGCGTTGTGTTTGTGTGAATGATGTAAGGTCCCCAATATATAGTGATATTTACCTTCAGTCTTTCATTGTTAAGTGCGATGATGAGACAAGTGATGAAAGATATCACAAACGCCGCCCAGTTCAGGTTCGGGAGATTCTTACATACTTCTATAAACGTCTGAAAAGAAAATAAATTATATTAAATTCAATAATGAAACTGCCTCGTTGGCCGAGTGGTTGCTAGTGCGACTGCGGCGGCAAGGGGTCTTGGGTTCGATTCCCGGGTCGGGCAAAGTATTACTGGATTTTTATGAAAATCTCAGTAGTAGCATGGACTCTGAAAACGTGCCCGGTATATGGCAATAGGCTCACCCCCTATTACATTACATTACATGGGACTCATAGGTAGGTGATTCCTCAAAATATCATTAGGTGTCACTCAGCTTAGGGGTTCCTAATAATGTAAGAGTTCATCGATAACGAGCATTTGCTTTCTTGTTTAAAACAACCGACAGCTGATCGATGCCTGATCACGATTACAGGTCCCTGAGTGGCTTCAAACATGTCGAGTCATCTCGTAAAACGATTATCGTGGTACATTGCTGTTAGTTCGACCCCTGGACATGTTTATAGCATAAAATAAAATAAAAATACTTAGAGGTATTACTTATAAACAATTATTATGATTTAAGTAATACTTACAGCTATAACTTTATAATTAGGAGGTAGTTTGACGAGTTTTACTCCAAAGAGGTCCTTTAGTTGTGAGGCCAGTACGTGGAAGGAGGCTGCCGTCGTGAACCCTGAGACCAAGGGTTCTGATAGCAGTGTAGATACTGCGCCGAGACGGAGCATCCACATAAGTACCTGGGGAAGAAAAGTTTGAGTTAGTTAGTTCAAGAAAATATCAAGTTCAACTACATTTGCGTTATATTTCGTCGTGTGATTGACGTTAATCGGAGGCTCAATTACCCGTCCTCCCCAATTTCTCCAATCCCCGAATCCTCAACAATCCTCAAATGCCTAATTCCCAAAAGACCTTAACCCGTCGAGCGTCCGCATTCCTCATGATTTAACGGGTGCACACGTGACATTTGCAGCATTTTTTCTTATGATCCACCGGGTGCTCATAAGGACGCTCGAGGGGTTAACAGTAACGCATTTGTAACGCTTCTGGTGTTTCGAGTGTCCATGGGCGGCGCCGATGCTTACCATCAGGTGATCCGCTGCACGTTTACCGGCTAAACTCAATAAAGAAATAATCTTTAAAAAACTAAAGCAATGCCCGTTCCCAACCTGGGCATCAAAAGAAACAAACATTAGCGCTTGTCTACAGAGAGAGTAGAAAACTAAATGTCTGGGGATGTCACTGAACAGTGTCAAAATTTACGTCAATTCCATATAATTTGGTTGTTTATTCTACATGTAGACAAGCGCTAAATGGCATTTGGCTACAGCTGCTGCTTACTCTGCTGTTATGCTTCTGAGCACTTGATTAACGAGGCAATTGGGTACTTAAAACATAGAATCAATAAACAAAATTGCCTAAACCAAAATATTAAGTTACCTGGAATATCCCCACCAATAGACAAACGACGCTCACGACCTCGAGTGGACTATACATCATATCTTCATCCGCTCCTAAACCCATTACTGAAATGTAATAAACTAATCGTTACTTTAAAATGTCTATATTTTAATTGTTAATTATTTGTCCCTATTACATGGGACTGATAATATTAATAGTGTAAAGTGGGTGTTACATTGTACAGTGGCATTAAATGTCGTAATGTGTACCTCTGCCTACCCCTTCGGGGATAAAAGGCGTGATGATTTGTATGTTATGTTAAAAATAACAGCTCTACTAGTTTCAAGTCAGAATGGGACTCTTGTTCATGAGTAGCGTGCGCGGAGCTGTGACGTCACGATGCCAACTTGATTAGTTCACGTAAGGAAACCGTTAAATTAGTATATATGTCTCACAATAGTTATTACGTAAGATGTAGGTATGTTTTTATTCACTTTAAACTTAGGTACACTATTATAAAAAATATTAGAAATAGTTTCAAAGCGTTTTTTTAAGGGGGGAAAATCATCGAACGGCTGCTCCCGCCTGGGTGAGGCGGGAGGGAGTGTCAGACTCTTACTGAATAAAAACCACCCCGTGCCTACTCCTGCACTTCGACCCGAAGCCCCGGTAACCCGTTAGGTTCTCCGCGACTCCGGAGTTTCAAAGCGTAGCCCCATTTGTCCGTTGCGTTCCGTTGCACCGTCACAGTGTCGATTTTCATACATTTTTTTATGACATGCCGCATGGTAAAGAGACTAAGCTGGAGATAGGGTGATGAGGTGCGTCAACGGTGAGTCATTACATTACGTTTGTATCTTGTCAGTACCCTGGTGGTGCATACAATGTGTTGTTGCGTTTCGACGCAGCGCAACGCACAAATGGGGCCTCGCTCTAACAGTAAAAGTAACATTAAAAATTTGAAAAGCCGTGTTTCATCTTGCTACGAGCTCGCTACGGCGTAGCGCGTAGCTCGCTACGTCAGTTATCTAAGATTTTGCCAAATTTCCAGTACACACCTTTCATACTGGAGTTCGTTGAATTCGCAATCACTGCTTCTGGGGTCGAATATTGTGTTACCACCTGCAAAAATATATAAATTGAATTGGAATTCGTATATACTTATAACATATAACCCTTTCTTTGAGAGGGAAAAATAATCCAATGACTTCTCCCGCCTTGGGTTAGGGGAGAGGGAGTGTCAGACTCTTACTGACTAAAAACCACCCCGTTTCTACTCTTGCTTTTCGAGCCGGAGCCCCGGCAACCCTTTAGGCCTTCCGCAGCTCCGTATCGGGCATAACATATAGCCTAAAGCGTTGTTTAAATGCGCTAATCTTCGGTACAACTGGTCTGAATTGAATAATTCTTTTTGTATTGGATTATCTATTTATTGAGAAAGGCTGTAAATGCATTATGCGAAGATCAAAAAGATCCAAGCAGCGGGTCACACACGAGTAGATAATTAATTGAAAGTCAGTTCTCACCTTTCCAGCCATAAGACAGGCTACAGCGAAGGTACCCATGGACACATGGGGTGAGGTGCCCAGCATCACATAGATTAAGACAGGGAAGAAAGCCATGTACAGACCCACGATGGGAGGCACTTCAGCCAGGAGTGCATAGGCCATGCCTGCAAATAAGGAAGAGAAAATATTTTAAATAAATGTTACATATTCGATCTGTGTCGATAACGACATTTGTGCTTCTCAAATCACTGTGAGTTAAACATTAAAATCTTTTAGAAGAATCACTAAAAACAGTGTACAAATTAATATGTTTGAGCTTAAACAGATAGACAGACATGAATCAGTGTCACGGAACCTAAGCTAGCCTACTATACACGTACGAAAATGTACGGCTGTCAAATTAAATTATGGTTGGCTGGTAAAGAATGCTATCCGGCATTAAGCCCGCTATTATACACACATTTGTACATAAAGTGTTAAAATAAATAAATTGTAAAAAAAAAATCAGTACTGTTTATTCGATATTTGCGAAAATGTGGTATAATTTTGAAACCGTACATTTTCGATGAACATATATTGGTTTGTTTAAGTATTGGTCCCAGCTCGATCCCCTCACAGAATTGTGCACTATTTACTGGACACCCCGTATAATGTTAAAACAAAAAACATCGTAAAGTTTAACATTGTGTTTAAACGATGTTTGCGTTGAAACAATCTGTTATCTGAAATAAAAAATTATGACTTTTTTCAGCTAATACAAACAAACAAATGTATTTATTTCCTTTTTGTTCACATATACTTACTCTAAGTTTATTATAATTAACTATTCTAGGTAGGTTACAATACAATGCCTGTATAGAATTAAATCTGTACCACAGGCTTTGTGGTCACGTGCATTATACATTAGGATAATAGGATAATAAATACAAGAATGTTCAAGAGAATTCTTACCCTGTGGTATGTGCATGACGGCCGTGGTGGCGCCGGCGATCATGTCGCCCAGCATGAAGTTCTGGCAGCTGTACTTGGGCAGCCATTTTACTATAGGTATGGAATTTAAGAGGCAGTCCCCGAAGCCACAGTTTCTTACCACCTTCTTCACTCGCTCACCCACTGCGAAAAAGATAAATATTAACTAATAATAACGATTGTAACGTTGGATTTTATATTGAGGCATGCGCCCAAACCTAACTATTAACCCCCGTGTTACACGATGTTTTTATAATAACTATGTGTGAGGCAGTGAGCTGCGCGACGTCGCCGCGACCGCGCAAGCTGTTCATGAGTAAGGACCCCTCTATGGTTCGAAACTAGTAGAGCTTTTCTCAGTATATTCAAGTGAGTAACCCGTGATTTTAGTTAATTTAATAATAACGATTTACTTACGTAGGTAAATATGTTAAGAAAAGGTCTACTAGTTTCGAGCCACAGAGGGATTCATCTTCATGAGCAGCGTGCGCGGTCGCAGCCTATTCATCGCTACTCCCAGTAAACGGTTATTTTTATTTATTTCAGTAGGTCACGACAGTTATTACAATAATAGATTATAGGGTTGTTGTTATTTGTCTATGGAATTTCCTTCGCGACGGCTGAGCTGTGAGGAGGCAGCGCTTCGCTGCCTCACGCGCCCCGCCTCCTCCTTTGCTAGCATTACTGCTTCGCAAAAGAAGGAGTAATGCTAGCTAAAGAGGTTTATCTATTAGATAGAGCAAGATTGTTTTTATGAAACTTTAAATGTGCTAAAAGACTGTTACATGGTGAGATTACTGCTTCGCAAACTACCATTACACAGAAGAGCTTTTTCTCAATACTTTCACGTGAGTAACCTGCGATTTTTAGTTAATTTAGTATGTCTCACGATAGCTAATAGAAAAAGATATTATTAAACACAACACACCTCAACCATACGTGGATCACACGAATAGTTGTTGTGGAATTGAACCAGCTATAGTTTGAGTGACTACTAGCCTAGTCATTAGCCTAAACATGAAGTCAATCAAAATAGATTAAAAAACATAATGCACTTGAACTCACTTAACGGTGAGTGCGAACCTCTACATTGACAGTTTGCATATGACTGACTCGTCATTAACGGTTTGCATTTGACCGACATATCAGCATATTTTTACACTTCCTGACAGGCCCATTAAGGATAGATAATAAAATAATGGACTCCCTAGCTTCTAGTCCTAATCAAATTCAATTACGGTGGTGAACCTCAACCGAGATTAGCGCACTACGCAGTAGATATTTAAGTATACAAGTGTGTGCGCAAATATAGGTTCATCTTTTTTTGGAGTGGCGCTGATCTTTTTTAGAAAAACCCGCCACACCATCGTAAAATCACCTACAGGACCCACAGTAGATACAATCTTGAAAACACCGAAATGCTGAAGTTCGCATTCCCTGACATGACATGACACAACAAACTAAATAAATTAGAATATGTATTAGATGAAAATGAAATAGTTTAATTTCCTCGTTGAATTTAATGCCGGAGAGAGAATGACTTAACGTGAATCTAATTAAGAGGACCCGACGCCACTTATAGGTGTTAATTGTGATCACAAAGGAAGTTTTAGTCAGGTAAAAATTTCATCTAAACTAGACACCTTTTAAAGACTTCCTTCTGTCATCAAAAGAAGGCACACTCTCTATACTTTTAGTGTTTATTGCCATGTTCTGTTTTTGTGTTTTTTAGGTTTAGAATCTGTTTGATTCTTTAGAAAATACCAAATTCTAATTCTATTGTCCTTTAGCGACCTAAATACTGCTATGGATATCGAAGTAATTAAGACTTACGTGTTTTCTCAGGCAGTTTATAGTCAGCATCCTTGTTGAGGGTCTCCTGTTGGTACACTCTCCGGACCACATTCAGCTGCTGCTGGCTGAGGCTAGCCCGGACCCTGGTGACAAAGAAAATGATACATTGTTAAAATAGCACACTCAAGACCCTACATCCACCCACCCACCGCTAAGCTAAGGTCTCTTCTCACACGGAGAATGTTTGAGCATTGATTGCCACGCTTGCTCAAAGTGGATTGGCAATTTCAAACTTATAATTAGAAGTCTAGGTTGCCTCACGATGTTTTCGTTCACCGTATGTCACTGGTATCTAAATAATCTTAGGAAGTACATATAAACCGTAAAAAGTTATGATTATAAGTATTGCATGAGAACAGCGTCTTAAAAACCGCCGTGCTACTACGACGTAAGCAGGGATGCACCCCGGTAAATGTAACACCCAATTTCTAATAGTATAATATGAAGCCAGCCACATGACGTCATATTAGATTCCGTGGTATGAAAAACTAAAATAAAAAAGCTTAACAATGACTGGGAAATGTAACCCAAGGCGTAAGGGAGTGTCACGACCTTTACTGATTAAAAATCTCCCATTCCTACTCCTGCTTGGGGTTTGGAGCTATGGTTAGTCCTGGCGGTTTTTTTATGGGATAACCCGGTAAACGAGCAGACGGATCATCTGATGGTAAGCAAACGGCGTCGCCCATGGACACCCGAAACACTAGAGGCGTTACAAGTGCGTTACTGGCCCTTTGGGAATTAGGAATTTGAGGATTGTTGGGAATTCAGGGGTTGGGAAGAGGGTGGAGGGGTATTTGGGTCTCTGGTAACCGCATTCACGCAACGAAACACAACGCAAGCGTTGTTTTACGTCGGTTTTCTGTGAGGCCGTGTTATCACTCCGGCCAACCCATTCGCGCCAAAGCATGACATTCTCACACTTGCGGTTCTCGGCAGCCCAAGTACTATAGGTTAAAGACAGCAAAACTCTTGATCAATAGTAATTATAAAGGTTACTCTCTGCTTAAATCCCATTTATATGAAGTTACCTTTCTAATAGATCATACAAACAGTTATTTTAATAGCTCCTCAGTGGTTTATATAAAGTAAAGTATAACGCACATTTTAGTACCTCTTCAAGTTAAAATCACTTCTCGGTTAAGTCATGAAATGTTCACAAAAGGGATATGTTTATTATTGAGATTCACTTGGCTTAAACAATTCAAAAGACTTGTCCATTTGACAAAACAATCCACAGAGTCATTCTATAAACTTTTTTATGTAATTTAAAGAGAATGTATGCATTAATTCGATATTTTATTTAAAGAACAAATTAATATGATGAAAATTAGTAAGTACTTTGCTTCACAAAGAAAGGAAGGAAAACATTTATTCAGAAATAAGAGACAAAAAAAACATAATATATGACAAATATGGTGTTGACAGACAAGATAATTATATACGTCACTACCTCTTCTCTTAATTTGGGAGTCGTATAACCCCAATTTTGGATCATTGTAGGTTTTTGACAGAACTAATTAAAAAAAATTCGATTTCAATCGAAAGATTTCAGTCGGGTTACCGCAAAGAGTATAATAAGTATAGGGGTGGTTACCGAGGCTCCGACTCGAAGAGCAGGAGTATGATTTATCGGGGTGAATTTTAGTCGGGAAATCCTGACACTCCGTCTCGCCTCACCAAGGCGGGAGAAGGCATTGGATGATTTTACCCCCCTCAAAAAAGTTGAAACAATATGGATTGACATCGGTTATTAATTAGGACCCGACGAGAGAGGAAGAGGCTGAACAAGATCATTACCAACTTATGTCAACAAAAACAAATCTAAAACGAACGATCAACAAAGACTTACGAGCAATAAACTAATTGATTTCGAAATTACCACTAACTATTAGAGTATAAAACAATTAAATTGTAATTTACGAGTAGCAGTAAATTATATAGCCTGATAGCTTATCAGATGAACTTATTTTCATGTTATTGTTACATTAACTAAGCTGTGTAGTGACGTCACAGTTAATAGAATGCAGTTATCACCATCCGTAGTCTTCCCGCGGGTGTTGTATGAGCCGACTAAAGAGACTACACAATTGACAGATATCGGGCAGCAGCGCTTTCTGAACGAGCGATAAACCTGAATCTTTAAACTACGATTTCCTATCTGTCTGTTAAGCATGGAGATTAGGTATAGGTTTTTTTTGAGTGGGGAAAATGATCAGTGGGTAGAATGACTTCTCCCGCCCGGGTGAGGTGAGGAGTGTCAGACTCTTACTGACTAAAAGCCACCCAGTTCGGCAGTTCTTACTACTGCTATTCAACCTGGAGCCCAGGCACCTCTTTAAATCGGATAATCGGATCCACGCGAGATTCAATGTATTTTCTTTTGTCTCCTATCGATGCATTAAAGAGACTAAGTCTTCGGCGGTTCCGTTTCGGGCATCACCTCCATCTGTGGGTTTTTTTATGGCATAAGCCGTTAAACGAGCAGACGGGTCACCTGATAGTAAGCAATCGGCGTCGCCCATGGACACCTGGAACACCAGAGGTGTTACGAGTGCGTTACCGGCTTTTTGGGGATTAGGAGTTTGAGGATCATTGGGGATTCAGGGATTGGGGAAGGGGAGGGTAATTGTGCCTCCGGTAACCTCACTTACACGACGAAATACAACGCAAGCGTTGCTTCACGTCGGTTTTCTGTGAGGCCGTGGTATCACTCCGGTCGAGCCGGCCCATTCGTGCCGAAGCATGGCTCTCCCACACTTATCTGTAGGCTATGTATTTGACGCGAGCGCGGAACCAGACGCGAACCTTCAATAAAAAGTGGGATTAATAGTCCAGCCATAAATATGTTTTTAATATTCCTGTGACTCCAGCAGTGGACTGTCACGAGCTGTTCTTGTGGAACCATGAAATCCTTATTCATATCTGATTGCTTCCTTGCTTGTTGCTGTTTATTGCATTATATTGCAACATTGGTACGGCAATTTGGAGTTGCGCGCAGTCAAGCAAAACATGATTAGTTTTATCTTTTTTTAACAACTTTTTGTACGTGGTTTTTTACGAATTAAAGTACACATGTAAATAAATATGAAATAACAACTTTCATTCCTATACACGCATAACATGAACATGAAAATAGTTGATAACATAAGAAAATGTTCTTTTATCACGTTCATTAGACCATGTAAGGATTTTTTTTAAACTGCCCCACACTATGATTATTTAACTGTCGTGCGTGTCGTGGGGTGTGTTTTACAAACATACATATGGCACCCAGACCAATAACAATTAGTCGATCACACAAAGAATTACTCTGAGCCCGCTACATGTTGCACGGCAGTTGGATGTCCAGCCACCGCGCCAACCATGCAATTATCGATCGAGAATCGGGAGGTAAATACAAAATTGAAGTTGAAATCTCGTTGTCAGTAGACGTGAATACGATCATCAACAACAATATTGTTACAGTTTTTAATATTTTCTCAAAATAAACGATAAATAACTTGCCAATCTTCGTTATCACCATCGTTATAGTCAGCATCATCATCATCATCATCATCTCGCAACAACGGCTCATGTTCACTATTAACAAAGTCTTTCTCGTAAATCAGAAATGTCTTTTTCATACGCATCGTCACTTATGTTTAAACAACCAATAAAAAAATTGACATTAAAAAGGGAATACTTTTAACACATGACACTTAATAATTTTCATATTGTAGTTAATTTATTTATCATAATAAAAATTAAAATATTATGTCTAGCTAATCATCACACGATCACACACACTACTGTTCTGTTCAAAAGGTTTTTAATAACATACATCTAAACAGTTCAGTTAAATTATTAGTTTAACCGCTTATCACTAACTGGATTGACGTTTAATAAGTAAATCGGTTAGTTTTGAACTGAATCTAGTAAGTTGTGAGATAACGCAAGCCGACATGGCTGGACGGTCAACGATTGGTCCGTTTAGAGAAAATTTTATTGAACGACCTTCATTTATTGATGAAATTGTTTTGTAAAATAGGCTGCCTCATTGGCCGAGAGGTCGCAAGTGCGACTGTCGGGCAAGGGGTCTCGGGTTCGATTCCCGGGTCGGGAAAAGTATTACTGGGTTTTTAAAAACCTCAGTAGTAGCACGGAGTCTGGAAATGTGCCCGGTATATGGCAATAGGCTTACCCCCTATTACATGGGACTCATAACATAAATAGTGAAAAGCGGGTGTTACATTGTACAGTGGCATTAAGTGCCGTAATGTGCACCTCTGCCCACCCTTTCGGGGATAAAAAGGCGTAATGTTATGTTATGTTGTTTTGTAAAAGGAATAGGTAATGTAAAATGTAGTTTTAAATAAATCTTACTAGATTTCCGCCAGTAACTTCGGACGACCGTTCAAAAATACGTCCAGCTGTTTCTGAGTATAAGTATCGCGTTCATTCAGACATGTATTCGCCTCGTTTATCGCGCAATGTTGCTTCTAATTATAAGCCCTTATTGTAGATTGAAATTAGTGCCATTACCTCGTTCAAAAACTACTTGAGTACACCATAAAACATAAGACTTTGAAATCTTTTTTATTAAACAATCGAGGTTCCTAGTATCCTACCCGCTACTGACCCTTGCGTTCAGCACCCCTGACATCTTATCACCTACTTCGGGATGGTCATGTGATGTCCGTACACACATACATGTTTATTCAATTATGTATATAGGCTATCGACCCTTTCCCTTTCGATATGATTAATGTTATGTAAGATTAACTTTATGTCCGTATTTTGACTAGCGCTAGATAAGTTTAGAATGCAATTGAAACTGTTATATGATCGTGATGAAATGTTTTCAAATAATGTATGTTATTATTTGGAATATACAGACGTATCCACGTCACCACGACGTATAGTTACTATCTTTTTTTTCGTCAGCCTTCAGACCACCACGGATGGGGCCTAATAGGGCTGATGCCGATACGGAGTCGCGAAGAACCTAACGGGTTGCCGGGGCTCCGGCTCGAAGTGCAGGAGTAGGAATGGGGTGGTTTTTGAGAAGAGTCTGACGCTCACTCCCGCCTCACCCAGGCGG